ACCATCTACTCTACGCACCTACCCACGCACCCACCCACCCATCTCCAAACCCACCAAGGCACGCACACACACGCGTACGCGCACGCACACCCAGCGAGGTAACGCAGCACTGTCACATTTGAAGTTACTACGTACTTCTCGTGTAACTACTCCGGACAGTAATTAACTTTTACGTACGTCATCATGACTCATACCTAGCAGACTATATTACCTCACGCCATGGCCGAGTTAATGCCACGCAAGCCACGCAAGACAGACAGGTCTACGTGACACCCGGGTGACACCGAATACGTGAAACATACGTGACAAATCGGTAACAGCATCGCGACACTAGAGTAATACCAGCATAACACTAGCGTGATACCATCGTGACACTGGCGTGACACGTACCACATAAAACATGCGTGATACCATCGTGACACTGGCGTGACACCTACCACATAAAACATGCGTGACACCATCGTGACACTGGCGTGACACCTACCACATGAAACATGCGTGACACCATCGTGACACTGGCGTGACACCTACCACATAAAACATGCGTGATACCATCGTGACACTGGCGTGACACCTACCACATGAAAACATGCGTGATACCCATCGTGACACTGGCGTGACACCTACAACACGAAACATGCGTGATACCATCGTGACACTGGCGTGACACCTACCACATGAAATATGCGTGACACCATCGTGACACTGGCGTGACACGTACCACATAAAACATGCGTGATACCATCGTGACACTGGCTTGACACCTACCACATAAAACATGCGTGATACCATCGTAGCAGCTACTACATTAAACATGCTTGACCCCAGCGTGACCCCTGCGTGACCACTGCGTGTGGCGAGCGCGATAACAGCGTGACGATGGAGAGACTTCATGACATCACGTGCCAGTGTGGATCTTACTGAGAACGTATATCTGACATTCATGTCCAGAGCGGAAATCCGCCCTCATACGCAGAGCAAGCAATTGGCATCATGTCCCTGACCTCCACAATATTAAAGTGACAGGGGACACCTCTGATATATATATATATATAT